TTCTTCTTCTTCTTCTTCTTCTTCTTCTTCTTCTTCTTCTTCTTCTTCTTCTTGGTTTTAGATGGCAATGATTATAAATCGCACATACCTTGTTTTTATTTTATTTTTAAAATGTCAATGATCTCCTTGCAATGAGTGTCTGCTTTCCATAGCGAAACATTAACAATACATACATGACCTGTTAACCAGTTTACACAAGTCTTTTGTCGTCATTTCATCATTTAAAAATTACTGTGCTTTGCAACCGCAGTCTGCCGACAACTTCTCCGATTACCGAAAAAAATCGAAAAATCTATTTGAGTAATGGAATTATGTCCCCAACAGCATATCTTCAAGCGTTGTCGAATAACAAGAATGCCTGTCCTCAAAGAGTTAAGCAAAATTTATCTGACATTTAATGGCCCTCACAAAACCTGGAGATGTGTGGGCCCAAAATAACTTGCGTATTTTATTCCACATATATTTCAGCTTTTTAAATTTTGTTTACTATTTAAAGGGTGAGGCGAACCATGAATGGAAAACGAGAAAGGTATTTAATCGTGTTCCTTTGGTATTCATAGCTCTCCTTTAAAAATGTGTAGGGTTAAACTTATCAGAGCAAACACCTGAAATATAATTGTTATGCTACTAAGAACAATCGGTGCTCACTGCGTTCAATATCCTCTGCGCAGTAAACCAACAATTTGCCAAGGAGCCGACTGTTTGTTCGAAAAGCAATCCCACGCTCATTATCTAATGTTTTCCTTCTTTTCAGCGGCTGTTGACTTCCTCTGGAAATTAAATCCTTCAACTGCAAGGGCTCAAAGAATAAAAGAAAGGTCAACAAGGAAAAATGACCGTTCGAAAATAGAGCTGCGCAATTGATCCTTGGAAAATCCCCAAAAGAGAGCGGCACACGTTCATTGATAAAGTTACATTGGCTCCCTGCTGAAGCATACATTGATTACTGAATTGCTCTTTAAGTAAGGTCACAATTCATGAACAACAAAGCATCACAAGATCCTGAAGACCTTATATCAAGTCATATGTACCATCAGTCATCAAGACATTTGAGATCTGTGAATGAATCTCTTGAGAGTGCCCCCCCCCCCCCCCCAGTTATTGTCAAATAATTTGGGTGGAAAGTTTATTCGTCCTGCGCCCTCAAAATTTGGAATCAGTGAGAGAAAGAGAGGTGAGATACATACATACATACATACATACATACATACATAGAGAGAGAGAGAGAGAGAGAGAGAGAGAGAGAGAGAGAGAGAGAGAGAGAGAGAGAGAGAGAGAGAGAGGGGGGGGAGGGAGAGAGCAAGTGCTTATGAAAAGTCTAAAGACATACATAATTCAACACTATGCTTCGTTATCTTAAAGCAGGCACTTATCGCAAGGAAATCAGTAGATCTAACAGGTTTTGCAGAAAAAATATACAATGTAACACACTATGAACAGTTCTCAAGTTTATAAACTAGCGTTTATAGCCAATAATCAATGTGAGAGGTAACTACAAAAGTAGATATAGTTGTTGTAGATCTAACTGTCTGCACTGGAGTCACTTTCACAGGATGTTTAAATCTCATTTTTCAGAATACTCTAATCATGATGTGTCACGACGCGGTGGAGTCAGGCACTTGTCAATTTTTGGGCATATGGAACTATTGGTATATTTCCTAAAGCTTGTTCATTTGTCTTGCTTTCAATGAAAACAATTCTCATCTATCTAGGATAGAAGTCAAAATATTTGCGAGTAATTGAGGTGGGGTTCACCCGTTTTAAGAGGCAAAATAAGCGAGAAAATGGCCACTAAATTAGGGTGACTTCCAAAGCTTTAGAGTCCTAGGCAACTCTACATTTACAATTTCGCGCCTTTAATTAATCCTTTTCAATAAAATCTACACAGACATGTTCTTTAAATAGACACAAAAGGGCACTGAATCAAAAAACAAAAAATTCGATAAAAATTGTCCAAGGGCCAGAAAATTGCTGGTTTCTTTGATTTTGACGAGCGCCTGATTTCACTACCACATTTTCTCTCAGCAGCCCGGTGCTGGTGGCGACAGAAGCAACAGAATAGTAGCAACAGGAAGCCCACCAGTACTCAGTACATTCCCCCATGGCGGTGCTTCTGACTGAAGTGTCTTTACGCCATTCCCAAAGGGGGGACATTGCCATGTTCTGCACAGTAGAATTGTAAATGGGCTGATTCATCAAAGTCATGCTCATAACTGTGCCTGAACTGCAACGGGGAACTGCTGCTTTTTCTTTCCTAATCCTTACTGTCGTCATTCCTCTACCTTTTTGTATGTTTATCACACTCTTGGGACCTGGCATTTCCAGGGTACCTTGATAGTCGAAGCAGAATTTGCGCTGTTGAAGCTAGAGAGGTGAACAGAGAAAGCCTGATTCCTTGTATGGACTTCTCTGTTGACGTCGACCCCTTGGAGCTCATATAACCGTATTATGCAATTGCGAGCTCCGTAAAAACTCTACTAAAACTAAAACTAACTCAATACCACATTGCCTAATAGGCCAACCGGTTGAGAGGTAACACATTTGTGTGGCATCGTGGTGAAATCAGACGCAACTCATCGCACCCGAGCTACGAGCATGCTCAAGCTGCCTCGCGCTTCCGTCCACCGAGCTATGACAATAGTCGAATCAAAATACCAGTCCACAAAATCAAGTCCGACCCACTTATCCAGGTCTCTATTGAAAATAACAGGTCAGCTATAGCTTGTAAAAACCTACGCTAGCGTGTTTTGATCCAGTTTTGTGCCAAGCAGGAGTTAGTTTTCTTGTTTTGTCACCGCAAATCAAGTCAAGAACACGAGCACTGAAATCTTCATGGACGAAAAGAAAGAGAAACAAACAAACAAAACAAAACGAAACTGTGCCACGGCTATTTGTGTGTTTGTTAAAATACATCAACCATGTTTTGTTTTGTTTTTTTGTATTTTTTTTCTTTGGGCATAAGCGGCAAAGAAAGTTAAAGTAGACATAAATCTAGAAAAACAAGGCGATCAGATTGATTTTAGAGCCTTGAAAGCTTCGAAAAAGCTAGATCTAGACCATACGATAAGTTGCTATTGGTAAATCGAGTGACGATGAGTCGCAGTCAGACGAAGAATTTTAGTTTTTCTCTGCTCTTTCCTTTCTCTTTCTGTCTTAGAAATAGTAAAAGAACATTTTAAATAAAATCTATGCGAAATTTCATATTGATATCTTAAATACTTTGGGCAGACTGATTTTTACCCTGATGTGCACTGCTCGCGGCCATGCAGGGTGAATAGGGATTTATTGAAATGACTGCTCTTACATTGTCAAAAGTTCAGTTCCCGAGTGGGGAAGTTTGTTTTATTGAGGACCTCCCGTTTTTTTCGGGGGGGGGGGGGGGGGGGGGGGGATGGGGGTTGTACTGCGCTATGATCAGCTCGGGTTGGCCCCGGCATTCAGGGTAGAAGTTGTCTGCCTGCCAAGTGAAGATGGTGAAATGGTATAGGTGTAGCGCCCCTGTCAATACTATTAGGTTATTTAAGAGTCAGGACCTCTGAGTTTAACGTCCATCTCCGAAAGGACAGAGCCAAATGCAAAATTCGTGCAAAGTGCCTTTCCCAAGAACACAACCTCGGATCGAGCTGAGGCTCGAACCCGTGAACCCGCAATTTCAGGATTGCGAGTCCGGCCTCTTAAGTCTTATTGATCTAAGCGGAATACAAGGGCATAAAAATGCATCATCAATCAGTCGCAGTAATGGCGACTGCTCTGTATCCGCAAGTTATGGAAGGATTTTTGTTTGTTTTTTTTTGTTGTTGTTGTAGTTTGTTTTTGTTGTTTGTTTGTTGTTGTTGGTTGGGGGGGGGTTGGTGTCACAAAGATAACCACCTCTGGAAATTAGGAAGTTCAGCACCTAGTGCGTCAAACCACTCATTCTATTGCACCGACAATTTGATATCAACCTTAAAATCCACCTGCATAGGCCAAGTTCTATATAGCGTTTCAAAATGCAAATTAATCAAACAAAAAGGTCCTTAACAGTTCTATTTCAATTTACTTCGTTAATCTGTAACTTACTGCTCTACGGTTTGATAGTATTATTAGTTAAAAGCACAATTTGCGAAAAACTAAAACTTCTCTAGTTCTGTGAAGGGCACGGGTTTACTCGCAAGACTTGCAAAATTAATATGACCTGCGATAGTATTATGACTGCATGCTGTAATACTTGTTCTGAGTCTTGTTGCTCGGTATCAAATTATGCAGTGGAGTTGCTTACAAATTTGTTGTCGCCGTAATCACGTCTGTCGCCAGAGCTTTTTGTCACGCAATTGATTATGACGTAGCTTCACAATGGGTGATTGCATGGCAAAAACAATTCGTTCGATTTTTGTAACAGTTTACATGTGGTCAAGCAAAAACCCATAGGGAATATTAAAGATAATAATTAACAGCATTTGCAAACCGCAAATCCCTACTCAGCATCTGTCTCTGTGTGCTTTTCAATCTATATTATTTCCCCATCAAACTCTAGAACACTTAGAAGCATTATCAGCTTCCCAGGAAACATACAGCGGAAGCAGCCGATTAAGCTTTTATGTATCAGGTTGTCATTCTAATCATGGCATATGACAGAATAACAGAGGGTGTTATATTCTTCGGAAATATTATAGGATGCCTCCTTAGTGCTTGTTTGTGACTTTTTGTGACATCATTTTCAAACGCCCTGTATCTCCCAATACTACTTGGATTTGCTTTTGCTACAAAATGTATATTTTAAGAATCCGTAGCAATAATACGTCTCCGAAATTGGTATAGTCAAAATGGCCAATCACGCCCAAAGAGATAGGAATTCAGAAATACTAGATACAACGTTTGCTTATAAAAGCGAACCCAAATGAATGGAATGGTACATTGTATATTCCCTCTTGGCTCTCTTGTCCCTATCTTGCTTTCGGGTGTCTCCTTCATAACCGTCTGGTGGCCTTTTATATGACCAAAGTATTGTATATTAATTACTTTTCATTTTTCCTACTTGTGTGAATAATCTGACACGTCTCATTGTTCTGGTCTTTTTTGAAAATGGGCTGGTCACATAGGTGGAGTAAAAGATAACAGATGGACAAGACGCTACTCTGAATAGAGACCAATAACAGAAAAACGATCAAGAGGAAAACCAGAAATAGGAAGCAAAATGACATCAAAGAGCGGACGGGTACAACCTGAATATGGAGAACAGCTGATACAACAGAGAGGAGGTCTGGGTTGGAGGGTTACATCTTGCATTTAAAGAAAACAGAGAAAAAAAAAGAAAAAAAGAAAGAAAGAAAGTAAGAAAGAAAGTGAGAAAAAAAGAAAGGTACACGTGATGCTTGCATTAAATAGTTGACAAGTTTCACAATATTATTAACATCAGTCCAGCTTTTTTCTTACCGCGGGTCCATATAGAGTACGTTCATGTGTAGTGAGGATGTTTATCCAAGCATGCATCTCGGTCATGGGCCAGGCCTTTAACTGGTTTTAATAGTTACTAGAAATAGAGTTCAACTATAATATACTTACTTGTATAACAATTATGAAAACTTTACCGGAACGCCACTGTACCTTTCAATGCAAAATAAATTATTATTTTTCCTCCCAGAAACTTAATTATTCGTTTGAAATAAAGAGTTCGTGATACTGCTGAGAGAGAGAGAGAGAGAGAGAGAGAGAGAGAGAGAGAGAGAGAGAGAGAGAGAAAGAGAGAAAGAGAGGGAGGGAGGGAGGGAAGGAGGGAGGGAGAGAGAGAAAGAGGGGGGGGAGAGAGAGAGAGAGAGAGAGAGAGAGAGAGAGAGAGAGAGAGAGAGAGAGAGAGAGAGAGAGAGATTATAGTGACAGTTACAAGCAAAGAAAATGCTTGTCACTTCACCAGAATACTCAGCTTATCCACTAGTTTAGAAATAGAAAGAATAAAGACAGTTTTAATGATAGTTTGATCTGTTTTCTTGAGCTCTATAAAAGTAACGTCTTTTCAATGGAGTCTATGAAAGTTCAACAGTTACCTTGAAACACTGGGTTAGATGGCTTTCAGGTTCTGCAAGTAATTCGATTACTGATATAAGTGATATTGATCGGGATATTATAACCAGCTCAGGAAAGCGAGAGATTAGAAAGCACCACTGGTTGGAGCTGCACCTTTCCCATCAATTATTTCGGAGGCCTAACGTTTACTGGTGACTTGGTTCAGTTTAATTCAGTTTGGCAAGAGTTTTTCGGCACTTTCAACTGCGTCAAGTCATGAGTGCGCAGGTCTGGTGACTGATAAACTTTCTTTTTTCTTCAAGATTGACCCTTTATTTTCTCAAATGATTATATAAAAGTAAGATGTTATTGCTATGAATTCTGTTCGAAGCCGACCGTGAAAAAACACGACCTGTGTGCTTTTCCCAAGTTATTGGGGACTTCTTTCATATTTTACTTTATGAAGACTTAATTCATTTTATTCTTACGCCGTCTCTTGAGAAGCTGTGGGTGTGCGCAGAGAACATGTTCTAATATTTACATGCAAGCAACATTATTTCTAACGCTCCTTTAGGTCGTCTACGTTGTATATTTCATTTATGTTCTGTTAAATGAAGTGCAGACGGTGACATTATAATATCGTGCCTTAACAAACTCTTCCTCCAATTGAGTATCTATTGAAAACTTCCCTACTCCATTAAATGATTTCTTTGTCCTATGTCTCAGACGGTTCCTATTTCCGTGATTCAAGAATACGTCCAGATTAGATAGAGAATGCCCGTGATTGTCTAGAAACATCACGCCAGAGAACGAAATTGCAACCTTTAGAAACATGCGATAACGCACGAGGAAATGGCTTGGAGGTCAAGGTCAGAAATGCCAATAAGTTACATGTAGATAGGGGTTTCTTTTTAGTGGTAAAGAAGTACCACAACTCCTTTGGTGACTAAAAGACAGCTTTTTATTGAACAGCTCACTGAAGACTATTCTGATTACCAAGAAGAACATCAAAGGATAACGCAGTTCAAATTTCAACTTATAAACATTCTATTTTATTTCATATTCCGTTCGTCAGCCATATTTGAAATGAGCCTTTTGGATTAGGGAGACAGTTCTCGGTATGACTCGGAACACGAACTATGGTTGTTTGGTATAATTCAAGAAAGATGAATCAGAATGTTGGTACGACTCAGGAGCATGAAGTCTCATCGCTACTAGCCCAAAGTTGTCCACCACCAAGATTTTATCTTTCAGGCCACGTTTGAAGGTCGTACACATTCTGGTGTCGGACGTGTAAGACACATAAAGACACCAGGGGTTGGACTGACAGACGTGAGCACACTCCATGTAGGATCTGACCAGGCCCTCCCACAGTACGAGGCGAGGGCTTTTGGCAACCGATAGTCCGGGCCACACATTCACAAACGTCAGCTCTGTTGTATCTGTGAAACCAAAGGAGATTCGGAAGGTAAACCAGGACAATGACATTTGTTTTGAGAGTTACTAATTTCATAATAGCTAATTCACCTCTACCCCTACCCCTGCCTTCAACTTCCACCCTCAACCCGGCAATACAGTCTCCTCTCCTGTAAACAGACCGACCGTACTGCCTCATCTAACAGAGGGGGGGGGGCGTTAACATCTATGCTTATGTATGCCTCTCACTCTCGCCCGCGTAATTTCTGTCTTTCTTTCTTCTCTTTTTCATGGTGTAATCACAGAGCCAAGAACCCCCCCCCCCCCTTAAAAAAAAACCCAAGAATGGTCTATGCGTGTCTAGCAGAGCTGTCTGTACGTCTGCGGAAACAGAGTGACGAAAAGTACGAAAGTAATTGATCTAAAAATTGACAATTTGAGACTGGCTCTGTGGAGATGGTGTCTGTGAGGACGTACTTTCTAATCTGTATTTTTTTGGGGGGGAGGGTGAGGGTGGGGGGGGGGAATATTTCTTAGAAGAAGATTTAACAAAAAGAATGAAGTAATCTTAAGGATATAAAGAAATTACTCCAACAGTGACAAATAAAGAGTGTGACACCACGTCCACCAAGGCCCACAAATGCAGAGTTTCCATTAACCTTCTGAATAAATATGCTTAAATTAATATAGCATGTCAGTTTTGTAACATCGTGTAGGATGTAAGGCAAAACTATTTGTAGTAAATACTGCTTGTGGTGATTATCCATTGTAAAGCAGAGACAAAGAAGATTAACACAAATGTAGGGAATCTGAACAAAGGCATCGGCATCGATTATATAAACCTCAATGAATTTTAATAAGTTCAGGAGTTTGGAGAAAAACAACGTCACCAAAGATGGAAAAACGGACGGAGAAAAAGAAACTAGAATACAAAAGCTGACGATGTCAGTGCCAACATGCCCCTCGACTGGTACATTCAAATGGAGACAACGTGCAGATTCATCAACGCCATCTTCGTTCAAACTTTGATTTATATCAAACTGGGATTCAGGTCAGTCCTCTTGCAGTTAGTCTATTGGGAAACATGATGGCTCGAAAGGTCATCCGTATAAGACGACGAGACTAGGTTCAAAATTATATCTTTAGAAAATTAGTTGGAACCAGGGGCGAAGGCTGACTTGTTTGACAGGGTAATCAAAGTGAAACTGGACCAGATATGGCCTGGGGATATCACACAAGAACCTTGCTCGAGGCGGCGACTCAGAGTTGTGAATGAAAACATTCATTATTGTATGTTCAACCGCCAAAATAATCGGGAAAATATCTCATTAAATATCAATTCCAATTAAAATTAAATGTAACTTTAGATGTGAATACACAAACACAAAGCAAAGAAGCAGAGATGTCACAACTAGATCTAATTGTTATAGATCTATCAGGGAGTCTCTAACTCTTTGGTAGAACATGACAATTATCATTTTTTAAATTTCACATTTGGCTGTTTTTTGTCTAGCCTTTCGCGGCCACGAGCCTGTGTCATAATCGAGGTCACGATCTGATTATAGGGCAGTAAAAAGTCGAGGGAAAAAAACAAGCACTCGAAGCAGTCGAGAGATTATTAGGAGTTAGTTCCCCTCACATCTGTGAGGTAGACTCGACCAGTGTAATAGTTAGCTTACCCAATCAGTGCTTGAGACTGATTATAACTGTGGCCCGAAAGGGGTGAACAGGGTATATGTGGCAATGAAACAGTTTTGACTGCCATGCACATGTTCCCTTCAATTCTGTTGGTAGACTCTTCCAGACTCACTTTAAGCTTACTTAATCAAAGCTTTGTGACTGCTTATGGAGTGGCCCAAGAGGGATGAACAGGCTATTTCTGTGGCAATGAAACCGTTTAGAATGTTAGGATTACTGTTCATTGTTGATTATGAACGTCTTTTTACATTTAATTTATGAAGTTTACGTTTATGGGTGAATTTGACTGCGACAATGTTTCAAAATTAGAAAGGGAAGCAGTGAATATTTGATTATATAGACGCTTCGCCTCTGGTTGGAACCAAAAAATCCATCACATCAGCCATCAATAAAGCATTGATTTTTGCACCAAACCTGGTTACCGGAACACCACACAGTCAAGCGTGCAGCTGATATAACATACAGTGATAACGAGGCCAGTGGACGGCCCAAAAAAAACATGGCTCGATAGATTCAAGTAGACTTTACGATATTACAAAATCCTAACTAGGCATCATCTGACAAGCAGCAGGCGGGCACCAGGTCTTTCTTTGCACTACGCATCCTGGGGTTATTATTATTAATAAACAGCAGCGCAAAGAAGGGCAATAAAGTAAGATTGCAATAAAAGCTAGATTAGACACTTCACTACCCAGCTATATTGATTTTCACTAGCAATCAAGAAAATCAAATGGATTAAGACTGGAAATGTAAGTGACGCAAAGACATAAAAGTAAATGCAACCTGGTATATTAACTGGAGATCATTAAAAATCTGTCATTGTCTGGTTTAATCTCAAATAAGAGTTGATGCACTCCGTCAGCCCTTGTTGAGCTACCATACAGATGACACTGGCTCGAATCCCAGACGATATTTTCTTTAACTTTCTATATTTGTGAAGGTTTTGTGTCTCTCCATCGTCATTGATCGATCCCATTGGGAGATAAATCGGAGGACCCATCTCCATAATAACCTTACAATTTTGAAAGAGAATTAACACTTAGCCGCCTAATCTCGCCGATTCGCGATGTTTACCACTCGTTTTCTTTGGATGTTCCCCAAAATATGATGATAAAACTTAAGGCACTATAAGGTTTATATCTGGCGACTAAGCAGTAGTTGGCTATGAACCTGTCATGCAGGTGGAATTGAATTTCAGAATTGGAAACTAGAAGAGTTTGAACTCTTTCTCATCCATTTAGGAAGGTTTGCCTTTACCCCGAGCCCTGTTCTTCGAATTATAGTTTACCAGTGTGCTAATTGTAATGATAACGGTGACGCCCATTCTCAGAGGGAGAACCGTACATCTATGTTGGCATTTCGGAATGAAAAGTCATTCTGCTGATGAATGTGCAGGTTTCACCACTTCGTGAAGTTGCGAGCTTCGAATATCAAGTGTGTGTGGGGGGGGGGGGGAGATATATACGCAGGAAAAAGCTTAGAAGCCTCGAGAAGGGAAAGTAATTGGAGCACTCTGCCCTGGAGCAACCTTTATGAAAAGGTTATAAAAATTTCTACTGTACCGTTCGTAGAAACTTTAGACTATGTTTCTTTGGAATTCAACATTTGATGATAGAGACGGTCCTACCAGAATAGTTGCATGTATTACTAATTCAAAGAATGTCACCTTATTGCCTCATTTTAACAACAGCATATGGTAGAATGGATTATAAATAATTCACTACTCATTTATAATGAAAATATGTTCGTATTGTGAGTTTCTGGAAGCGAAAACAAAGCGTAAGAATTGGCAATATGGTTAGACGAAATTATTTCTATAGCAACACACCACTAGGAACGTAGACAAAGCACTGAAATTTTGCAGGAGTTGAGTGGAGCATGACAATGGTCATGAATTCAGAACCAGTTACTCCCATCTCAATGACTACCGCAGTTAGAAGTGTTTCAAGTGTTAATGGGTTTGTTTGTTTGTTTGTTTGTTTGCTTTGGTGGATTTGGGGCGCCAGCAACGATACAATACAGATTATTTAGGAGCCGGCCCTTAAACTCTCCCTCTCAGGCCAACCCGGGCCTAGAGGGATACATTATGGCCGAAATACCAATATACTCTATAAAAATGTTCTCCCCAGTCGAGAATCGAACTCGGGCCGCCTAATTGCTACGCTACCGACGCCGGTCGTGTTAATGTCGACTTAAAGAGGCTGGTTAACGTTTCAAGATTCTCTTCACTGTGGTGAATATTACAGTACCGTTTGAAGATTTTACACTATCTGCCCCACACGTTGATGAATTATTTGACCAGAGGTCAAGAAATACCTACTTATCTTTACAAGCTACTATTTTATAGTCTACGTAATTTGATGAGGACATAACAGTAACAATAGAAGAATTTCTGTTTATAGTGATGATAGTGAGCACTAATCTGGGATAATAAAGAAGACTATAAAAGTTCATTTGAATCAGGTCCTTGGGCAGTTCTAAGCACCACTTTGTTCACAAAAGTATTTTAAAAGCTGAAAATTTAAAATATTATAGCCCAAAAGTGCTAAAAAATGCCTGCTGAACTTCGCTGAGGAAGCCCCCAACTTTTGTCAGCAAACCGCAACACGATTCAAAATGTTTCAAAATATAAAAAATTAATCAAGACATATTTCAGCCGTCACTTTGAATTAAAGCCCATGACATCTAACCGAGTGAAAACATCTAAAACAGAATCTTGATCAAATGACCTTTGATACTGTGCAGAAAATCACCCAGTGCTTCATACATTTCATTTTGATTGAAAATGAATCAAATATTAACCTGAAAGCAAATAACAAAAATAATGGCAACTCAAGGAAAATAGTGAGATATTTCATTCCAATGCATAAATTTGGCTTACATAAGTTTCCACATAAAGCATTGAACTGATTTTCACATTTGGACGTCCGAAAGAAAGCCCGAACGCCATGTATCTTGAGTGTGACACAGATATTGGTGCTCGGGTTGTAAGGTTCATTTGCTCTCTTCCAGGATGCCCAAGTCAGATTGGCCCCATGCGTCCATACGTGCTCTTGACGATCCGGGATCCAGCGCGGGCCGATGAAAAAATACGTGTTATTTTGCCTGAAGTATGGACACAGAGCGGGATTTGGGGGGGGGGGGGAGGGTTAGATCTATTATTACTCTGAGCTCGCTTTTGCGAAATTTATAAACACTCCACTAGTCTGTGAAAACGTGTACATTTCGTGCTAGTTCACTCTGTGCTTCTATTCAGGCATCCTACCAAGAGTACAAATGTCCATGAGAATAGATATCTACATGTAATGATTTATTCAGAATCAATAAA